CCCATAGACATGAATGGTTGTTTGTGGGTTTACATCTGCCTGTGATAAAAACATGAATACAGCGTATGGGTGTGGCCACAAAAAAAAAAAAAAAGTCTTTTCTTGTAATATGCCCATATGCGTTTTAATGGGAGCACCAGTGTAAGTCAAGCTGTGCACATCCATTCATGTCTTTGGGTGACCATACACAGTACCTGGGCCTCCTGGGTAGGCGAAATATTCCATAATCTACCTTGCAAGTACCTGTGTGCAAGAGGCCTTAAGAGGTTAGTTCACCTTTACCACAAAACTGCTTATGCAGCTAAGGGGCTCCTGTAGATAAAATATAAACTCTACAGCTTTAACCATTCTGTCTTGTTGCTAGGATGTTGCTAAGACATTCCCAGATGTTACTGCTCACCCCCACCATCACAGGAGTGAGCTCTCAAACCCCCAAACATATGTGGTCCATTATCTCCTCCATCGTAGTATCGCTGAGCTCAGAGCTACTTCAACAAGGGAGAGAAAGTGCATGCAAAGGGATTTGAATAAGATGAGAGTGTCTTAGTAACATCCTAGCAACAAAGCAGGACTGGATGATGCCGCCTCTGGGAGTTTTTCCAATCAGGCTTCAGGAAGTACGTAAATAAATTACACCTATAGCAAGGGCAATATTCAACTTTGGTCAAAGCTGCACAGCTTTTTTTTATCTACAGGAAGTCCTTGCCTGCAGAGGCATTTTTTCTATAGGTATAAGCCATTTACTTACCTCATGAAGCCTGACTGGAAAACATCTAGGATGTTGCTAAGGACGTTGCTAAGAGACTCCTAGCTATTACTGTTTACCTTTACCATCCTAGAAGTTTTCCTTCCAGGCTTCATGATGTAAGTAAATGGTCTACATCTCTATAGCGTACATGTACATCGTCCGGGCTTAGTGGTTATACCGAAATTACGCCTGCAACTACAGGCATCATCCCGGTATTGTTCTTTAGAGCTGGCGATCTTTTTTTGTAAAAAACATCCTGGCAGCTAATCAGTCCATATCTCTCCATAAAGAGGACCTGTCACTGCTGATTGCTATCACAAAGGATGTTTACATTCTTTGTGATAGTAATAAAAGTGATTTTTTTTTTGTTAAAGAGACAGTGTAAAAATAAAAACAAAGTAAAAAATAATAATAACATTTTATAAAAGTGTCTCCGTCCCACAGTGCTCGGATGCAATGGCGAACACACACGTCCGGCCTGCACGCATACATAAACAGTGATCGCACATGTGGAGATATTGCCGTGAACAGCAGAGTGAGAGAAATAATTCTAGCACCAGAACTTCTCTGTAACTCTAAACTGGCAACCTGTAAAGGCTTCTAAAGCATCGCCTATGGAGATTTTTAAGTGCTGTAGCTTGGCGCCATTCTACGAGTGTGCGCAGTTTTAATGTGTGACATGTTAGGTATTTATTTACTCATCGTAACATCATATTTTATATTTTATCCAAAAGTTTGGTATTATATTTTGTTTTGTGTGTTAAAATTCATTAAAGTGTATTTTTTTCCAAAAAAACTGAAAAATTATGTCACAAATACCGTGAGACAAAAAAAATTGCAACACCCACCATTTTATTCTCTAGGGCCTTTACTTAAAAATAAATAATGTTTGGGGGTTTTAAGTAATTATCTAGTAAAAAAAAAATGGATATGGTTGGCATGAGTACAAAAGTCTAATGGTATTCCACTTCCTCTCAAATCTCTTGAATTCCTATTGCTGGACCTATCTCTACAATCTTGGGTCACTTCAAGTATTTTCACCATTGGAAACCTTTACTCAAATACTGGAATGTATTCCTTCTCGTACCTCAAAGATACATTTGGTTTATCCTCCAAAACCTTTTTCATTTACCTTCGGATTTGATCATTACTTTCCAAAATTCAGTGGTCTAACGGAAACACTGTAATTGAACCTTTATTGAAATTCTACATAACACCCAACCAGTCTCTTAAAGGAATCTCCATCATTTACAAATTACTTGCAATTCCCCTTCTGGACTCGTCTTTTGCTCCCATCAACTACTGGTCATCCTTCATCAATGATGCTCCCCCTAATAAGCAGTGGTACCAAGCTCTTACTATGACAAAAAAAAATATCTTGCTGTAACAATCACTGGGAGTCCTTGCAGAAACTGTTTTTTTGATTGAAAAGATACTTTTATTGCAGAAGCATCAAAAACAACATGATACGTGTAATCGGGGTGCATCTCACCCTGTACTGCGACGCAGCGCACCACATAGCAATACAGTTCCAAGCATACAATAAATACATTCAGAAATAAATACATTCGCTCAGCGGTATGATGCCTGACGTGATGTGCGCGGAGGATGAATCCCCCGGACCACCACGTCCTGCATGACGCCGCTTACCCCAAAAACTGTAGCATCCTAATACAAAATACATTTCCTAGTCACTATGTCATGCAGAAAAACGATAAACTGAAAATCACGATTCACAATAGGCATCGGGTGTGTGGGGGGGGGGGGGGGAAGGGGAGGAAAGGGGGAAACACAGGCCCGAAGCTTTATTGAAAAGACAAAGACACGCAAGGGGGAGTAGGGGGAAGGGGGAAATCTTCAGATGTCCTCTTCCTCCTTAAAGTCCATCAAGGAATAGTCTCTGAGCAGACTGAGGATCAGTCTGCGGCAGTCCTCAATGGACATCCTCCTCCCGCTGGTGGATGAGGCGCTTTCTGGCGCACCCATAAAAGCGTCCTTAAAACAGCACAGCACCCGCCAGGCGCCGTCAATGTCCTCCAGAGAAAAGGTTCCACAGAACAGTTTTCCTTGCAGAAACTGTTTCTACACCCTGACCAGATTGGCTACCATTTACCCCAACTCTTCATCCCAATGCTGGAGGAATGGTGGTCTCCAAGGGACTTTATTCCATATATGGTGGGACTGTCCCATCTTCAAAAGCTATTGGCAGCAATTTCTGGGTTTCTGACATCCCTTTATCTACTCCTCCTCACTTTGACTTCATTGGATCTCCTGATGGGTGTGATGATCCCTACCTGGCCTAAAGATTTCCACACCCTGGCTCACTCACTGTAATAATAGCTACTCATCTGGGATTAAGGAAGAAATGGAAAACACCTAAACCGCCATCCCTATCCGAAGTCATCCAAATATTGAGATGGAATTTTCCTTTGCCAAAGCTAATCTCAACACTGAAAAATGTTATGTCGCATGGGCCATTTGGCTCGCACTCCCCAGAAATGCGGCTTTAGTCAATTCATCTGATTTCTAACACTTTTGACCTCGGCCTTCTCTTTTCCTTATCTTCAATTATTAAAAGCCTATACCCACCCGGACCTCCACTGTATACCGTTCTTAACCTTGCAAACTACTAAGCAACTTATTCACTCCCTTGTTATCTCTCGCCTTGACTATTGTAACTCCCTCCTCAATGACCTACCTTATTGCAGGCTATCCCCTCTTCAGTCTATCATGAATGCTGCTGCCAGACTTATCCACCTTACTAACCGTTCCATATCTGCCACCCCTCTCTGCCAATCCCTCCACTGGCTTCCCATTGCCCAACGGATAAAATTCAAAACATTAACGATAACATATAAAGCCATTTATAACTCTGCCCCAAATTACATCACCAATCTTGTCTCCAAATATCACCCAAACCGTGATCTCCGCTCCTCGCATGACCTCCTACTCTCTAGCTCCCTTTTCTCCTCCTCCCATGCTCGTCTCCAGGACTTCTCCAGAACCTCCTCCATCCTCTGGAACTCTCTACTCCAATCTATCAGACTATCACCTACTCTGCCCACTTTTAGGCGATCTCTGAAAACCTATTTCTTCAGGGAAGCCTATCCTGCCCTCAGCTAATAATGGAATCTTCTATTCCTCCTACCAGTCCATAGCCCACAGTTACTACCTTTTGTACAACCAGCCCCTCCCTCTTAGATTGTAAGCTCCCAGGATCAGGGCCCTCCTAACCCTCTTGTATTGAACTGTATTATTGCTGTATTGTCTCCCTTAGTATTGCAAAGTGCTGAGCAAACTGTTGGCGCCATATAAATCCTGTATAATAATAATAATTACAATGCAATTACTATTTGTCCCTCCCCTAATCTATAAATTACAAATCTATTCCATAATATTTCTCATCATATGTCTAGACTTGTTAGACTATAATTGATATTTTGAAGTTGATTTCTAATTATATATTGGGTTGTTGTTGTTTTTGTATGCCATACGTGGAGAGTTATCTGTTAAAGTTGTGGACGGTCACGTGTGTCATACTGTCATCGTTATATTCTCTTTTCTTTTTCAAATAAATAAAAATTGGAATAAAAAAGAAAAATACAGATTTTCACATGTAAACAAAACGTGTCGGAATAGGCCTGGCCTTCTAGTGGTTCAGCGTTTTTTTTTATCTACAGAATGCCTCCAGGGGCAGACTGACAACTCATGGGGCCCCCCCCGGCAATAGTGGATCATGGGGCCCCTGTGTCCTTGCCCAAACTCAAAAAAGCCTATGAAAAAAGGTACCAGGGGCATCTCATGGGGCCCCCTACTGACCCTGGGCCCTCGGGCAGTGCCCGAGTTTCCAAATGGTCAGTCTGCCCCTGGACGCCTCTTATCTGCACAGGCAGTTGTTTGGTAAAGGTGAACTAATCCTTTAAATCCTAATGTTTGATTATTTGGGACAAGACTCTGCTGTTTGTGTTTACACGTGTGTACTGGGCTTTGTTCAGGTTTGTTTAGCTTTTTTCCATTCCATGCTCACTGCTCCTTTAAACTGAACTTGTAAGCTGCCAATAAAAGTAATAATGAGCCAATCAGAGGGTGAAGCCAGCATCCTTCCCGCGCTCAATGGGTCGGGCGTCGGTGACGTCACGCGCCCGTGTTGCTATAGCTGCCGAGGCCGCGCGCAGCGTCAGGTAAATGAGTCAGCACGCGGCGGCTAGGTTGATGACGATGCCAGCGAGGGGCGGGACTAAAGCGGCGCGTCCACAGGAAGATGGCGCTCCCCGCGGCTGCGGACCGGCGCGGCTCAAGTCTGACAACGACGAGCAGCAGCTGCGCCTCAATAACCACCGGAGCGAGCTGGGGAGCTTGGAGCTGCCTCAGGAAGCCGAGAGCGAGGGCATCCCTCTCCACACACGCCGTGGACCTTCTGGTTGGACAGGTAGCCGGGGGAGGCCGGGGTTGGAGGATCCCTTCCTTCAGTGACGTGTATGAGCTCTGTTATGGTGGAAGAGCTCTGTGATGTCTGAGCGACCTGACTGGCGTTCCCCCTCCCCCACTGTGCAACCCCCTTTTTGCCCCCCGTGTCCTTGCTTCCACCTACCCCCCTGTGTAGCTCCTTAATGTGTCCCCCTGTGTCCTTGCATCCCCCACTGTGTAGCCCTTTAATGTGTCCCCCGTGTCCTGAAATCTCCCTACCCCCCCCGTGTAGCCCCTTAATGTGTCCCCCTTCGTCCTTGCATCACCCTACCCCCCTATGTAGCCCCTTTTCCCTCTTTGTACCCGGACAAACCCCCCCCCCCCCCCCTACTGTGAAACCTCCTGTGTCCGGTCACCCCCTCCCCCACTGTGTAACCCTCTAACGTGCCCCCTGGTGTCCTGACACCCCCCCCACTGTGTAACCCTCTAACGTGCCCCCTGGTGTCCTGACACCCCCCCCCCCCACTGTGGTCTCCCTGTGTCCTTAAATTCCCTCTAAGGTCCCCCTGCCCCCCTCCCCAAGTGTAGCCCATCCCTGACAGCCCCCCCTCCCCCCCCCCCCCTCCCAGCCCATTAATGTCCCTTTTGGGTCTCCCTGTGTCCTTACAATTCCCTGTGCCCTCCCCCCCCAATGTGCAACCCTATTAATGTGTCCCCCTGTGTGTGACATTCCTAACTCCCCCACTCCCCCAAGGTGTAGCATCTCCATAAGCGCTCTTACCTCCCCCTGTGTCCTGACAGCCCCCTCCCCTACCGTGCAACCCTCTTAATTTGCCACCCATTAATGTGTGCCCCTGTCCCCCACCCACTGCAACTCCACAATGGTCCTACCTGTGTTCTGACATCACGCCTTTGTCTCCCTGATGCGTTGACTACTGCAACTGTGCCACCTGACATTCCTCTCCCCCACTGCTGCAGCCCCTCACCAGCCGCTTAATGTGTGCCCTCCACTGTCCCCCACTGCATCTCCAAAACTACACACTCTGACCTACAAAGCCATTCACCTGTGTCCGACCTGACATCCGCTGCCCCCTGTCCCTTCGACATCCAGGACCTCCTTCTATCCCCCCCCCCTCTGTGCACCCCTAGACTTCTCCAGTTTTCCCCCATCCTTGGAACTCACTACCACATCCATCAGACATCCTCTTCCCCCTCCCTGAAACCCACCTCTTCGCATAATGTTTCTCCTATGTCCTCCTACCACTCCATCCCCCACAGCCACTTCCTACCTGTACCACTACCCCTCCCCCAAGCTCGAAAGAGCACATGTCACCTGTAATTCATTATTGTCCCCCCCTCTATTGTACCTGACAACCCCAACCCATATAAACTCAATGTAATGTAATGTTCTTCCCCCCCCCCCCCCCCCCCCCCCCCCCCCCCACCATGTGGGCATCCCCTCCCCCACTATGCAACCCATTGCATTGTGTCCTGAAATCCCTTCCCCACTGTGCAACCCAGTAAGGTGTCCACCCATACACCTCCCTCTGTATCCTGAACTCCCAATTTTCACTTACCCATATCGCTCGGTGTCCTCACAACCCTCCTACCCCTCTTCCACGTATACAAATCTGTGTCCTAAAAATCCAACCCCCACCCCCTCCTATTCTTTTACCCATATCTGTGTCCTGAGGTTCATCCCTTGTGTGGCCCATGTTGCTTGTATTTGTGGCCCCTCCAGCACTTTGTGCAATGTTGTATGCCCTAGCTCTCCTCTTCTGTGCCCTTTGCTTGGTCTGTACAGTTCTGTCCCTCTGTGTCCCCTTGGCTATGTGTGCCACTGTGTCTCCGCTGCCTGGGCCCCCCTCTGTGCCGCTTTCAGTGGCTCTGCCTTGCTTTGCACTTTTCTCCTCTTGCTGTATGTGCCCTGCTGTGCCAGCTATCTGCCCCCAATATGTGCTGCTTTCACTCACATGTCCCCCTTCCCCTGCTGTGACCTTGTTTATCTTTACTGCTCCCCCTCCCCCATTTCCCATGTCCCAGCCTGTATCCCAGTGCTGTGTATCCTTGGTTATTAAACGTTCTCTCACTTATTCTTTTGTCCTGTTTCCCAGCATCAGTCTGTACTCCCAGCTCCTTTTTCCTTATTTTCCATCCTGTGCTGTATTTGTTAATATTATTTGACTCACAAATGTTTGAGGTTATATTGTATACAAATTTCCAACAAATTAGAAGATCCTTGGAACAGACTCATAATTGTTCTCACATTCCTTTCAGCAGTGCTCAGCATCAACCCAGCAGAGCAGGAAAGTTGAGTTGGCCATGATGTGCAAACCTCTGCCAGCTGGCCATATGTTAGTGTTCTCAATGCATGCACCAACTCCAAATATTGAAGACTAATATACCCCAGTTCTGGTTTGATCAGAGGGGTTTTCCAAAGGTATTTTCCAGCATGCTGTAAAATAGGTTGTAGCAAATGTTCCCCCATGACTCAATGCTGTTTGTTGGGGGATCACTTTGAAAAACGGCCACAAAGTGAAGTACAGGTGAAACTCGAAAAATTAGAATATCGTGTCAAAGTTAATTTATTTCAATAATGCAACTTAAAAGGTGAAACATATGAGATAGACTCATTACATGCAAAGTAAGATAGTTCAAGCCGTGATTTGTCATTGTGGTGATTATGGCTTACAGCTCATGAAAACCCCAAATCCACAATCTCAGAAAATGAGAATATTACATGTAATCAATAAAACAAGGATTGTACATAGAACAATATCGGACCTCTGAAAAGTAGAAGCATGCATATGTACTCAGTACTTGGTTTGGGCCCCTTTTGCAGCAATTACTGCCTAAATGCGCGTGGCATGGAAGCTATCAGCCTGTGGCACTGCTGAGGTGTTATGGAAGACCAGGATGCTTCAATAGCGGCCTTCAGCTCTTCTGCATTGTTCGGTCTCATGTCTCATCTCATCTTTCTCTTGGCAATGCCCCATAGATTCTCTATGGGGTTCAGGTCAGGCTAGTTTGCTGGCTAATCAAGCACAGTAATCCCACGGTCATTGAACCAGGTTTTGGTGTTTTTGGCAGTGTGGGCAGGTGCCAAGTCCTGCTGCAAAAATGAAGTAAGCATCCTCATAAAGCTCGTGTGTCAAAGGAAGCATGAAGTGCTCCCAAATCTCATTAGTTGCGTTGACCCTGGACGTAATGAAGCACACTGGACCAACACCAGCAGATGACATGGCTCCCCAAATCAACACAGACTGTGGAAACTTCACACTGGACGTCAAGCATCTTGCAGTGTGTGCCTCTCCATTCTTCCTCCATACTCTGGGTCCTTGGTTTCCAAATGAGATGCAAATGTTGCTCATCAGAAAAGAGGACTTTGGACCACTGAGCAACAGACCAGGTCTGTTTTTCTTTAGCCCATGTAAGACTCTTCTGACATTTGTTGTTCAGGAGCGGCGTGACAAGAGGAATACGACATTTGAAGCCCATGTACAGGATCCGTCTGTGTGTGGTGGCTCTTGATGCACTGACTCCAGCCTCAGTCCACTCCTTGTGAAAGCCCCCAACACTTTTGAATGGCCTTTTCCTGACAATCCTCTCCAGGCTGTGCTCATCCCTGCTGCTTGTGCACCTTTTTCTTCCACACTTTTCCCTTCCACATAACTTTCTATTAATGTGCTTTGATACAGCACTTTGGGAACATCCAACTTCTTCTTTAGCAATTACCTTTTGAGGCTTTCCCCCTCCTTATGGAGGGTGTGTCAATGATGGTTTTCTGCACAACTGTCAGGTCAGCAGTCTTTCCCATGATTGTGATTCCTACTGAACCAGACTGAGTGACCGTTTAAAGGCTCAGGAACCCTTTGCAGGTGCTATGACTTAATTAGCTGATTAGAGTGGGACACTTTGAGCCTGAGAACATTGCACCTTTTCACAATATTCTCATTTTCTGAGATTGTGGATTTGGGGTTTTCATGAGCTGTAAGCCATAATCATCACAATTATGACATTCACGGCTTAAACTATCTTGCTTTGCATGTAATGAGTATCTCATATATTAGTTTCACCTTTTAGTTGCATTACTGAAATAAATGAACTTTTGCACTATATTCTAAATTTTTGAGTTTCACCTGTAAGATCCTATGATCACAGCACCCTGATTGAGAAATGCTGGTCTAACAATGTAAGAAGTCGGTGACCTTTTAATGGGACCTGTGTTGTGAAAACTCTGCCCAAAAAAAGCAAGCAGAGGGTTAAAGGCCTGTGTGGCAGTATTGCCTGTACCACATTTTTCCCCATCACCATGCCTTGTATGAGATGTTAAACTCTGGGATACCGAGGCTTGCCTATTGAAAATCATCTCACTCAAAGGTCTTTTTGATACATTTATTGGTTATGAGCATCACATAGTCAGTGTACTTGGGAGGATGGTGGGATGTGAGCCACCTCCTTCAGTGCCTGAGCAGTAGATGATAGAATCATGATGAGATGCAAATAGAAGACTTGGGTTTCAGCTTGATGGACCATTTCAACAGCATTGGAATTTGCAGCCTGAATTCCACACCCTGTCATTGTGTGATGGTGGACATTTTGGTGGTGCTATCTTTGCTTCCTCAAGACTGATGGGCAGGTTAATCAAGTCGCAGAGGTGGAAGAATGCACAAAATGAGCGAAGCAGAACAGGGAGATCTTGCACTCGAGGTTCTGTTACAGATTTCTCTCCAGTAAGGAAAAGCAGCACAGTAGTGACTTCTCCAAATCTCACTTCAGTCAGTGTCTTGGATGATCTCACACTTCCCCTATGAAGCGTAAGACACAGGATGTCCTAGGTACAGTGTTCTGTTTTCCTGGAGGAAATCAAGATGGGATACGATTTTCAGGGTACTGCGAAGCCATAATTAGAATTAAAAAATGTCATACTTGCCTGCTCTGTTCAATGGTTTTGCCCAGAGCAGCTTTGATCCTCTTCTTAGGTCTCATGCTGACGCTCCTGGATTCTCCATCTAGTGCCCC